TTCGAAAGCTCGGATGAAAGCAATCACATTGGGGTGTAGTTGAGAAGGAGTCAAGTTCAAGTGACTAAACACGCCCATCTGGAAGTCACTAATGGGTAGATGAAGCCCTAAATCCTTGAAAATGGCCTCGTACATAGGGAAACGATCCTCCTCGAATTTCGAGCATATCCTGGTCGTAGGCGTCAGTCGCATGATCGTGAAGTTCTAACGAAATCCATCTTGATCCCCGCCATACTCAACAACGGTGTACGCTTCCCTTCTAGTGTAACTGAAGACTGAGGATATCCCTCGGGGTTCTGACCCGACTCAAGATAGTGATGGGTCATCGATCGTGTCTACCAAATGGATTCCCTCGTCGGCTACGCTTATCTCTTCCACCTCGACGTGCTCGGACGACTCGGGGGTTTCAACTATTTAACCTATAAAGCAGAGGAAACCAGTGAATTCGACAGCTAAATCAAATCCACTATTCCACCGCAACACAAGTGAAAGGGGGTTGCTGCAACCAAACAAGGTCGACGAACCCTTGTGAAGTGAGAAACAAATACAACTCATAAGCACCACGGGAAGCTTATACACACCTCAAACAAACCGCACGACGGTGACAAAGAAAGAATGAATATTCATGAGCACCGCATGTATGGGATAAGCCCTCTGGGCGAATTCATGAATTCTGCGAGGAACGGATGAATTTGCCGAACAAATTCTCGAAGTCTGCGAGCAACGAATGAATCTCACGGGAAAATTCTCGAATTTCGCGAGGAGCAGATGAATCTCACGGGAAAATTCAAGAATCCCGCGAAGAGTAGATGAATTTCACAGGCAAATTCATGAATGTTGCAGGGTCCAGATGAATCTCGCAGGCCCATTCGTGACTATTACGAAGGGATGTATGAACACCCCAAGTCAAAAACCCGCGGTAGCGAAATTCATCAAAGATTTATCGAAAAGCCAATCATAAACAACAATCAGTACTGGAAAACACTTACTTGATCAGAGAATGTGGGAAGTCTGCGGAGGAGGTTGCGACGACGTTAACGGTTGAAGAAAATAGCAAATGATGTAGAGCCAAAGGCGATAGAGAGAATGGAGAGAGAGAGAGAGAGAGAGAGAGAGTTAGAATGTGACAAATGAGCCCTTAGACCCTATTTATAAAGATGACATGGAATACGAAGCGTCGCATCGGGAAGCGCACCAACCGCCCTTCTTCTCCCCAGACCGTCGTTTCTATTCCAAAGGTCACGCCACGTGGCCACATCCTGTGAACTTTTCTCTCCCCGTGAGTCGAGGAACAACTGAAATGTTCCTCGTGAAGTCAATTCCAACCCCTGCTCGAGTAACCATGCGTACCGACGGCCCCCTCCTTCAACGTCGTGAGAGACCCACAACTAAGTTATGCTCACCGTAGGGAGAAGTTGGATTTAAGTCATAACTCCTTCATCAGGAGCAACGACTTGGAGGGCTTCTGTTTTGGACTGGGCCTGCACTTGGCCCAAATGGATTACAAGGCCCAATCCGACCGTGCTACACGAGAAAGCATGCTGAAGGAGTCCTCCCTCGACTAGGTCAGACAATAACTGCACTCTTCTGATCAACATGGATAACCCCATGAATGGTGAGGAGGGCCGAAGACGGTCAGGAGGACCCCGCGAGCATCCTCCACTCTTCTCGTCGACCAAGACAAGTCCTCCAGGGAAAATCTCACAGCTGACAGGGATGGTCTACGACGGGCAGAAGGACCTCGCGAGCATCCTCCTCGTAGGGCTGACTCTCAACCCCTCTGAATATTAGAGTCCTTTTGGTCCCGAAAAGACCGCATCCATATTCTTCTGATATTTTGGAGGAGTCCGTCCAGGTTGAGGACCACGTGCTAGCCCCCACTACGCACGTAGGACCTGGCAGTCTCTGTTTTGGGTCTACTTGCCCAGCCCAACAATGGGGATCTTGGTCCAGCGTTGGGGGCTATAAATACCCTCTCATTTGAGAGAGTCAGGTATTCAATCTCTCATTCTTACTTTCACACTTGTTTGCATAGCTCTGAACCTCATTTTGACATCAGAGTGTCTTGCAGATACCCCCTCCCCCCATTTCACATCTAATCGCTGCTCGATTTAAAGTTCGTGGACTTTGACAATCCGTTTTGGTCATGTACGATCAATTTTTTTAACGCTCTCCTCAATTTCAGCCATCCAACTTATAACATATATATAAAAATAATTTAAATTTATTTTATTTTTTATTGTAAAAAAGTTATGCAAAGTTATTATTTAAGTGTTTAATTTAATAAACATTAGTATACGTAACAGATACTTCCAAGGTTTGGTTGTGATAAACGGGCAACTCAAATATAGAAAGCAATTGTTCGAACAAGAAAATAGAAAACGCGTAATAACATTCCTGACTTTCTAATAAACGTGGCCAGCTTAACAAGAATTTCTTTTTTTACATTTGTTTTTTGTTATAGACACTTTCTGTTTCATATTCACTCGCTTTTATTGTTGCTTTGTCATATCTTCTAGTTACCCACCTAATCATGCTCATGTATATTTATTACATTCAACTCTTTTTCATTCTTCCATAAAATCAAACCATTTCATTTTATTTTCACCGTTGAGAAAAAAATTACCACCACAACAACAGAGATATGACAATTGGATTCATGGAAGTTCTTGTTCTCAAAGCAAAGGGTCTCCAAGAGTCCGATATCTTCGGTACATTCGATTAATGTTCCTTATATTTACAACATTTTATTTACTTTTATTATTCTTTTATGTTGTTGTTCTAATTGATTCCAACAATTGATAGCTCGCATGGATCCGTATGTTGTGTTACAATACAAAAATCAAGAGAAAAAGAGCAGCGTAGTTCATGGTTAGTCCTTTTCCCCCATTCTCTCTCCCAAATTCATGAGATAGAATGAGTTTTGATTGCTTGTTTTTTCAATTCAATGATATGCAGAGGGTGGTAGCAATCTTGAATGGAATGAGAAATTTGTATTCAGAGTCGAATACCCTGGATCAGGTGACCAATATAAGATCAACCTTAAAATCATGGACAAAGATGTTTTCACTGCAGATGATTTTGTCGGCCAGGCCATGTAAGATTTTAACACCACTATTGCATAGCGGTATTCTGACAAATTTTTATTTATTATAACATGAATTAGAAGGCAAACGGACAAAAAACTGCTCTTTTTTATAACATGTTGAATAGGGCTATATCAACGGCAATATAGCACTGTTTTGTAGCAAATTTTTAACGAATTGCTATTAGTACTTTTTATAAGGGTAACGGAAAACACAAAAATGATTTAGACTTTACACCGAAACCGTGTCTCATGAGAATAAGATCATACAACATACTAGTACTTTTTGTTTCTTGTTCTGATTATTGATAAAGGATATTGTTTTTTTTTACTGTAATTCAGAATCTACGTAAAAGATTTATTAGCGGAAGGCGTAGAGAAAGGCTCATCTGTGCTTCGTCCTCGCAAGTATAGTGTGGTTCGAGCGGACAATTCTTATTGCGGTGAGATCGAAGTTGGTATAAATTTCACTAGAAAGGTAAGTCATTTTCATGTTAATAGCTTGAAAGTACTCATGTTGCTTGTGATGCACGCAATTGCAAAACATAAAAAGCATTGCTAGTTTTGATTGCACAATGATAAATTTTGTTCTGTGAAATCATCACAGGAAGAGGAACATAGTGACGGCGAGTATGGAGGATGGAAGGATAGTGAGTATTAGTTCATTGTGCATCTGATGTATTATTTGGAATGGAAGATGAAGATGATGACAACTTAGTAATTTCTGTATACATTTGCTTTAATGTGTATAGAAGTGATGAAAGCCCTTGAAATTTAGTTGAGATTGTTGTTAATGAGTTTCTTCATACAATGTGTAATCAAAGAACGAGTCAATCATATGAGCATTAATGGGAATTTTGGGCTTTTGATTATGAGTCTGAAAATTGTTTTTCTTATCTAAGTTTTTTAACATTGGTTTGAGGAATGAAATGGTTAAAACATGGGAATCATCTATACTTTAAAATCATGTATGTGATAGATAGTATTTCTATAGTAATGGGCCATTTTAAAACTTTGTAATCATCTATCTATGAACGATTACTAGGTAGATTCAAAATATAAACTAAATAAACATACACATCTATAATATAAGTGTCATAAGAGTTTCTTTGAAACAACTTGTGCAAATTTAAGTTTCAAATATCGACTATGTCAACTTCATCCAAAATCAGACAAACGATGTCTATGTCTTCTGTTAAAATCTGTTCTTGTTGAGTATATAGTTGTCGTGCTCATATGGTGTCCTAACAATGAGAGAAAAATTATGTTGTTTGTATTGTTTTGTCATGATTGATAAACTTGCATTTTATAATCAAATGTAATTGTTGAACCTGTATTTCAGAAGATTCAATGAAATCCAGTATTATGTTGAGTTGTTTATGTAATGAAAATAAGTGTTGAGTTGTTCATGTATTATGTTTAGTTGAATTTTGAATATCAATATATCATGTTGTGGAACTCGTGTTGCAGTGATTCATGACATGCAAATTTTCCAAAGTTTGTCTTATAAATTGGCCATAATATCCTTTAAAAATTGCCCAAAATCTGCCTTATAATTGGTATTAATTTGCCTTTAACAATTAGCCATAATTTGTTTAATAAATTAGACATTATACTACCATAAATTGGACCTGTTAAATTGGTCATATATACACTTTGTATTTCAATTTATTAACAGCTAGGTAGAAGCTTATAACATAATATTTCTATAACCTCATAAAGTGATATTGTTATACAAAACATTGCTTTACAACCAGAATATTGTTTTACAATCATAGTGTTATATCAGATTCAAATTTTAGATAACTATCAACAAACTTAATCCAAACTTTTACAAAATAGAAAAACTTAATCCAAACTTGCACAAATTCTAATTCAAACTAAAGATATTAGTTGCGAAAGGTTTTTCCATATATCAGACCAACACTTCATTTTCCCAACACAGGTATAGTACATCGCCATCATTTTCACCATCTTCTTCTGCAACTAAAATAGAATGAATAACATCTTTTCTATTACTAACAATTGCTCGAACTTTGAGGACCATTAGAAATTCATTCATATATCATAATACTTGAAATATTAAAAAAAATCCATAAAATTCAAAAGAAAATGATTAAAACTAAATATCACTTAGTCTTAAAATTACATAAATTTATTTACTAATATTGGTTTAATCGCACTAAAAATATAAAATGCAAAACGCCTGTAGAAAGTCTAGCAAAGCACAACAACAGCAGCATCAAAAAATCCAACAACAGTAAAAAGTTCCAGCAACAGCAGCAGCTAAAAGTTGTAACAACAGCAAAAAGTCTAACAATGGCAATAAAAAGTTCCAGCAACAACAGCAGTAGTAAAAAGTTCAACAACACAACGGTGAAAAATCTAGCAACAACAGCAGAAGAATGTTCAGCAATAACAACAACAAAAAGTCTAACAACACAATAGTTAAAGATCCAACAAAAACAGCAGCCCTAAAAATTTCAACACTAACAAATAATAGAAAACAAACACAACACTAAAAAATTGTTTAAAATCTAATAGTAGCGATTGTATTGAGCTTAGCTGCAGTAAAGCCGACATCAATAGAAACTAATCCAACTAACTGTAGATTGTAAACATTTAATAAGAATAATATAATTTCATACTAAAATCAAATTGATTTTAAAATTGAAACAAAGAATTCATACCTGACTCAATCTTTTCCAATTCAACCAACTCATTTTTTAAATCAATAACCTTAGGAGATTTGATACAATTTTGAGTACAAATCAAAGCTTCAACGGTAGAGGGATTTAAAGAACTACAAAACGAATCAAGGACTCGACGTCCTGTACTAAAAGTCGATTCAGAAGATACCATGGATACAGAAAAAACATGATATTTATTTGTTTTTCCTTTCCACCAAGTGAGAATGTTAAATGTAGGAGAATCATCTTCAACGCACCCTCCAAATACCTTTTCAACTCATTTACTGGCATTTCACATTGTTTTTTTCTTCTATATTAATTATAAACAAATTGTCTCAATCTTCATCCTCTCCGCCATTCTTCAGTTCTAGAATGAGAGACAATATTCAAAAACGAGACACTAGAATCACCATTATGAGAAACAAGATACAAATTCACAACATTAATAAAAATTAAACAACATTCTTTTTTATCTAAATATTTTAAATTCACACCAATATATTAAATTATACATTAAAAAAAAACTTTGTGTTGATATCTAAAACATGTTATTAAGGGACAATAAAACATACAAAAAAGCTATGATATTAAAGTACAATGAAATACCATATAAACATGATATTAAACGTACAAAAAGCCTTATATAGACTAGTAACAGTTAGCACCACTATCTAAAACATGCTATGATATTAAAGCTTGTGTAGATGCCACTAAAAATTACAAAAATCTATGATTCAAGAAATTAGAAAATTTCATTAACAGAACCTCAAGTTAATATTTCCTAATTTCTAGTATAACTTAAAATAAAAATATTATAGAGTAATAGAAAAAATAAAATCGGATATAAGAGAGACAGAACTATGAGAGAGTGGAAGTACAGACTATGGTTTGAAAGGGAGACGGAATGTGAGAGAGTCAAAAAAATCAGACCGGGAGAGAAGGAGTGATGAGTGTTCTAATATTTTATTTAAAATAATAATAATAATAGTTTTCAATACCACAATAACATGTTGACGGGTTTTGAAACTCAAACCCAATAACTAAACAAAATCTATACGGATTATCACAAATTAGTATACTTGTAAATGAATGGATTCAAGTAATTAGTAAGTTGATTCGATTTAGGTAGGCGAATTCGCGGATAGACCCGCACCCATGAACACCTCTAATTTTCATGAGAAAATCCGATTTATTTTAAGTTAAATTGTCAAATACAACAAAAGATTTTTGCTAAATTGGACCCTAAAGGTACAAGTTAAAAAATATAAAAGTGAAAATTAATCATTAAATTGATTTTTAAAACAATTACACATTTAATTCCTTAGCTTAACTTGTGTCCTAAGTTAATTCAAACCGTTGAACTAATCAATTTTACCGTTATTAATCAGTGTAGTTCACATAGGGTATATAAAAGACATGATGCAATTTGTAATTATGTAACAGGATAATTCCCCAACACCATTCATTTCTTATATGATACTCTATTATACAGTAACATGTTGTTAATGGTCCACCTTACGTGACATTAGTAGATAGTCACACTCCTCTCTCTACAAAATTGCTGATACATAATAAGCCACAAAAGTATATTCCAAACTACACTATTGCTGAAGGCTCCATAATAAGCCACAAAAGTAAACAGAATTACCCAGACAAAGTACTTGGAAGAGAGTATAAACCTAAAACTTCAGCAACTTGTGCAATAGTCATCTTCAGCAAAAGCTGTATTTCTCCCTAAATAATAAAAATTTGAAGTCAGAGAAAGAAGAGAGATGATACTACCTGGAGAAGTAAACATCTATTCAAAATAGCTAGTCATGATTCTTCTTACATTTTAAAAGTATATATTTTTAATAATATTACATGTTTTTTATATTAAAACTTTTATTAATGAATATTGTTAAAGTATTGAAATAGGCCACAAACTAACTCAACAAACTGTGACTAACAACTTTCCTAAAGTGGAAAACTCTAAACTAACTTTTGAAAACAATTGCCATCAATGGAAAGTTAGTTAAATGGCTAAAATAAAGCTTTTAATCATTTCACAACATTTCATTCTTTCAAGCCATGCTATCATTCTTTCAACAAATATTTAAATTATGGGATGTCAAAAATATTCTTGATTTATAAAAAATGAGTTTGAAATAAAAATTTCTTTTTATGAGAAAGTTCTCATAAAAATCATTTTAAATAATATAAAAAATTATATTTTTTTAATCTATAATCAGTCTAGCAGTAGAAATGTATTTCACAAGAGATTTAATTTAGAAATGTAGACAAGAAACTAAATAAGTAATTGTAGAAAATCAATACCTATGCCTTCACCAGTGCCTCTCAGCACCATGACTTCTCCCCCAACCTGCTCTACTACCATAGTCTCCACCAACCCTTCCACCGACATGATAGCTACCTCTGCCACCACCCATACCTTGACTATCACGTCTATGATTTCCACCACCCATTCCACCGATGTGATAGCCACCTCTGCCACCACCATAGTCTCCTTCACCCCTTCTACCGACGTGATAGCTGCCACTGCCACCACCCATACCTTGATTATCACGTCTATAATTTGCTTCATCCCATCCACCGACGTGATAGCCACCTCTGCCTTGATTATGACATAAATAACTTGGTCCATCCCTTCCACCGGCTAGATAGCTACCACCTACATCATGATTATCATGTCTATGATTTAGTCCATAGTTACCTCTGCCACCACATATATCCTGATTATCACGTCTATGCATTGGCTTTGCTTTTTCAACTGACACCCAATGATCTCCTATCGCAGTTTGATCAAGTTGCAGTGCTTTCTTATAGCCATCAAGATCCTTGAAATTCAAATAAGCATGCCTGCAAATTTTGCAATTTTAGATTGGAATGCCACATACACTAATTATTGCATACATTATATTTGAGATATTTCCTTAAAACCACTTATTAAACATGTTTAAACACACTTATATAATGTTACATTTTCTCTAGATAACTTCCAAAATGTGACCTATCCTAAACCAAACAATAGATGCTCTTGCGCATAGCATTGAGACAATTTATTGTTTGAAAAGGCAAGAACAGAATAGTTGTGTGAAATAGGTAAATTTATCCAGCTGAGGCATGGCATTAAGAAAAGAAAAAATTCCCTCCATGCAGTCAGTCTTTTAACTCTAACAAACATGTAAATAATATCCTTAGTGTAACTACTAACTAGTGATCTAAATTAGTTCTATTAAGTTGTGGTTGATTATTCATCATCTAAAAGTGAGAAAGTCTTTCTCGTGCCCCTTACATATATAATAGATATAAAACTGTTACATTTTTTCTCAAGTTTCAGCTATTGTGTTAAATATAACCTCTAGGGAAAGGCTGAGATATACAAAAGGGAAAACTTTAATGATAAAATGGCATTAAAAAGCAGAAATTTTTCTTCAGCTTAAGTGATGAGCGATACAACCACAAAATATATCATAAACTGTATAAAATAATTTTCAGAAACAAGAAAATAATGTAATCAAGCAGGTGGTCCAAATAAATGAAAGTAAAATCCAGTAAGAAGATAAAAAGAAAATGGCATTGAAAAAGTGAAGTATGAGTCCAGATATCTAAAATATCCAATAGTGCATCACAACTACCAGTAGAACAATAGTCATACCCCTTAATAATACCAGAATCACGATTTTTTGGTAATGAGATCCTTGCAATCTCGCCACAAGATTTGAAATGATTGTGCAGGCTAGCTTTTATCTGAAAGGCCAAAGTAGGTAATAACTACAGACCAATACAATGCAAATATGCAATGCGAGAGATCAAGGAAATCTATTGCAGGGACAGATATTACCAAATAATGAGAAGAAAAGAAAATTACTACCTTCTCTTCGGCAAGGAATGTATTAAATCCAACCACATATACAGTTAGAGGCTCGCACTGCTGGAATTGGATGCTCAAGCTGCTTACATTATTATCAAGGAAACAGGAAAGATAAATAGATATGAGACAATATTCAAACAATCAACATAAGAGGTTAACTACTGTGCCAGAAAAAAATTAAATTGAAAACATGAAAAGATTGTTGATTAAAAATACAACACTATAAGAAAAGTTATTCAATAAAAATAAAAAACATGGTAAAGAGTAACACAAGAAAAAAGATTTATAAAAGTAATACAAAAATTATTATTTAAGCAATGTTGTTAAATAACCCCTATAGCTGTGCCATACATCTATAGCGTAGCAGATCTTTGACAAACCACTATTGTTCCGCGATACACTATTCGATACAAAATGTTATCAAATAGCCGCCATAGTGGCGCTACTAGCATGCACTATTGCATAGCGGAATTTTAACTATATGCTATTTTCCGCAGTCTAGAACACTGTTCTTAAGATTGAGTAACATTATATTTCGTGTATAATCGATAGAGAATGCAATGCATATACATGAGGCTTAACCTACTCAACCGCTATTAGCGAATATAATCAATTAAAAAGGGCAATCTATTTAAACCAAATTTTCATTGAAGCTTTTTTTAAATAAAAAAATCTTAGTAAAATTTTTTTAAACAAAAATATGTAACTATAAAAATCATTTTTAAAAAAACTGAAACAAAAGGGCCCTATATCTCAACAATTATAAAAGCTTTTTTCCAAAACTTGTCCAAATGCATCATACTTCGTAACAAAGTGTACAACAATTACCTTCTATTTGAGAAATGTTCACCCTCTCCTTAAACAAAAATATGTAACTATAAAAATCATTTTTTTAAAAACTGAAACAAAAGGGCCCTATATCTCAACAATTATAAAAGCTTTTTTCCAAAACTTGTCCAAATGCATCATACTTCGTAACAAAAAGTGTACAACAATTACCTTCTATTTGAGAAGTGTTCACCCTCTCCTGGAGCTATACCAACTTTGACGGGATTGTTCGTCAATCTTGTGTAATCCAACTCAAGAGCCTGTGATAAGAAAAGCAAATTGATGATTAGCTCAATTTGACTTTGCATGAAAAAATGAATTCGACGTTATAAGAAAAGAGCATGCAAGAGTGGTAAAAACTATATAAGAGAACCTAAGCATTCAAAATGTCAACCCCCCGTTACATAAAAATTAATCACTAAGCAAAATCATATGCTTGAATGGTGCATATAGCGATAGGCGCCAAGTGAGAAAAGGCTTGGTTGCTATTGTTTTATGCACATATAAAGAGGTCAGCTTTAGGATACATGACCACGTACTAGGATAAGAAGCCATATACAAGTTGCATATTATGAACCAGTTAACACAACTTGATCATTCCACTTATGACCAAATAATACATTTACAAATCACAAGCAAAAAAAAAAATTTTAAATCATGGAAATCATACATTATGGATCTTTATTATTTGAGGTATAATACATTTTTTACAGAACTGGGAGCATCGCCTTTTTCTTTGCATATTTATGCATAGCCACTTTAACACAGTATATAACCACACTCATGATGCCAACCCAACATTAGATTCCAATGATATGAATATAGTTGAACAAAACTATGTCCTGATACCACTTTAGCTACATCAATAATAATAAATCCTCAAACACAGCTAAATATAGGGTAGCAATTTTTTATGAATTCTACTAGGAATGAGAAAGACATTACAAGTCAACATATTCAAATTTAAACCCGTACTAAATAGGAAAAATATAGCTTCCAGAGGTACAATTAACCGGGGACTGCTATTAGCAGTTCTAAAATGATTTGTACAGACTACACAAGGTCAAGGGCTTGCCTTTTCAGCTGTCTCTGCAGTTGCAAACTCGACATCCACATGGAGGCGGACATCAACAACTACTCCACAATCTTTGAAAATATTTTCACTGAAAACATTTGATATTAGAAAAATAAAAACCGATAATAATCAACAAGAACTAGAAATAAAATGAATACATACATTTCAGCCCGTTCCACAGCGAATGACAAGTTTCTAACACATACTCTTTTTGATGCAGCACTTTTCTCTATTCGGGTAGCTGGGATTTCAGGCTGCAAAATTCAAGAAATAAAAAAAAAATTATATCGCTGATTTAATATATTACGTTGCAATAAGAGAGGTTATTGGTCAATTACAACCTTATTCTCAGCAGAGATAGCATCAAACATCTCTACATCCTTAACCTCCTTTGCACAACTCAACTATAATCAATAAAGAAGTAAACTCATCAGCGGCACTGGCAAGTAGATAATATGCAGACGAAAACACCAATCAAACCATGTGAATATGCAAAAGAGAGCGCTTCGCCCAATCTTGAACAGAAACTGAAGCAACAAACTAATATTATAGAAGAAAAACTACCTTGCCTTCCGCAAGAGATGTATCTAAACACTTCACAGGTACAGTTTGAGACTGAAATCTTTCATCCTTATGGAATGAGTTGCTCCAGGCCGAGCTGCATAAATTATTAAGGAAAGAGATGGTATAAGGGAAGATATTGAAATGAATAAGTAGAAGATAGTAAAGGCTCTCTCGATTATTTTTGAAAAAATTCCTTAAAAATAAAAGATATGTATATAAGATTTTACAATTAGCTGTTTCTAAATAAAATACAAATACTTGAGAAAAAGCAGTTTTAGTGTTCATCAAAGAACAATAATAATTAAAAAGGCTAACTCATCATAAAGGTATTTTTTTCACTCAAAGCTTATAGACCATACATTATGAGTAAAAAAGACTACATTAATAATTACCTTCCATTGGGGGAATATTTAGGCCTTTCGAAAGCTAAATCAACAATCATTGAACGTTTAAAAAATACTTTATTCTTCAAAGCAAGAGCCTACAATTAGAAAAGCAAATTGATTCTTAACTCAACAAGTCTTTGAGAAGCAGAAAAATTTAACAAGCTTAAGCATAGAACAGATGATGCAAATGGGATAGCAATACAAGAACTACACACACACACTTACATATAATTAAACACAAATCCCCATAGTAAAGCTCTGATACCATGTTCAAGTTATGAGACTTAATAGCAACTTGGTATTGACTTGAAACAAAAAATTATACACAAATCTTCATTGTTATAGGGATCCAAGACTCCTAAATCCTAATCCTAACTAAATAGATAAATTGATAAAATCACGATGATACCTAAGTAATGGGGAAACTAGTCTTAGGAGATACTCTAAGATCAAAAACTGATCCTACAAGATAATTTAAATTCTGAGATAATTTAAATGATTAGCATCGAGTAATATAAAAGATATTACATATCCATAGGGATTTGGTCAAAGGACAAAACCGTGATGGCTTTACGCAAGACCCAATATGGACAATATTACGAAATACGGTATCATGGAATTATGGTCGGAAAAGCAACCAAATGAAATTAAAAAATTCCATTGAAAATTCTAGGAAAGAAAAAAAAGTGTTGGAATAAAATCAGACTGATAAAATTCAGCCCAAGTATATGCTATTATTGCTTTTTGGCACTTATAGAATCAATTGCACGGTCATAACTCTTACCTTTTGTGCTGCTTCTTCTGTTGCAAACTGTACATGTCCGTGGCCTTTAAACTTCCCTTCGCGGTCTGTATAGAGACGTACATCAACAATTTCCCCATAATCTTTGAAAAGTTTTTCCCTGAACAGTAGTAAAATGAAAATAATGAAAAAGAAAATAATTCATTAGCACCAGCACAAAAAGACTTTAAAAAAAACATACACATCAGCTCGTTCTACGGTGTATGACAAGTTTCCGACATATACTGTCTTTGATGTACCCTTTGTTTCCTTTGGTGTAGATGGGCTTTTAGCCTGCAAAATTCCAGAAAACAACTAACAACCTATTAGCGAATTGAAATTGCACGAAGATAGGATATTGGTCATTTACTACTGTCGTTTCTACGGAAGCAACATCAAACATCTTCATGCAAATGCAATATTTACCGACAAAAACACTAATTAACCATGACAATATGAAATAAGGAGATGTTAATGCAATCTTGTGCAGGACTATATGCAACAAATCAATAAGATTGAGAAAAAATCACCTTGTTTTCTAGAAGAGATGCGTCAAAACCCTTTGAAGTGTGAGAGTGAAGATTGCCACCCGTATGAAATGAACTGCTCAAGCTGATAAAATTATAAACAAAGAAATCGGAAGATGTTGCATAAGCCGAGATTATTCAAAACGAATCATAAAACATATTTGGGGCTTGTTTATTTCTGCTTTGAAAATTGTCATTTTAATTTCAAACCAGACGCAATATATCAAAGGAATGATCGGACCGGACAGGCCTATTGTAGGGAGTTTTGCCATACATTTGTAATGGTCTAATAGACTGATTTCATGAAAAAACATGTTTTGTTAATTAAAAAAACAGGCTCCAAAATTTTATGGCAGTTAACTAAACTTGTTGGTTAAAATAAATAAAAACATAATCTTAAAAGGAGTTTCTAGTGCTTAAACAGCTATATCATTATAAAATCATTGTTTTACTTAAAGCATAATCAAACACACCATATAGAAAAAGATATATATAATTACCTTCTATAGGGGGGATATTCTCTCTTTTCCCGAGCTATCTCAACTTTGATACGGCGATTTAATAATTCTGTATTATGCAAATTGAGGGCCTATGGTTGAAAAAAAAAAACAAAGAAAATGATTCTCAACTCAACTCAATATGTCTTTGCGTAGAGCGCTGCTACAACAAACATACATATAGATGATGCAAGAGCTATATCAACTCGAGCAATATGTTAGATTATAAATGAAAACCCAGACATATCAATGTCAACACCCCCAAAAACTAAATGTTACGCAAAGACGTGGGGTTGGATGATGCATATAGCCAACGGCACCTACTAAGAGAACACTCGGTGGTTATTGCATTATGGATAAATATAGAGGATAGCATACAAAAAAGAACATGAAGTTATATGACAACATTTGCAAATTTGACAAGTCATATAAGGTACCATAATGTTAAAATCAAAATTAAAATACATAACATCGCATTACTTAGTAATAGTATAAACAAGAATAATATTTACAAGATGTGCAACAATGTGTTTTAATAAGATCATGTCATTGTTGCTTCCAAAGGTAAAACCATCTTTGAATTATATTTTTGCCGTAAAATGATTTGCAGACTACATATGGGCACAAACTTACTTTTTCTGCTGCTTCTACTGTTCCAAATTTGACAAACCCAAAGCCTCTAAACCTTCCTTCAGAATCTGTTTTGAATTCGACATCAACAACTTCACCACAATCTTTGAAAATATCTTCCCTGAATATTCTTGAAATTAGAAAAATAATCCAGAAAATAATCGGCAGGAAGATGCGTGAAAAATAATACATACATATCAGCCCGTTCCACACTATATGACAGGTTTCTAACACATATTGTCTTTTGTGCAACATACTTTTCGTTTAGAGTTATGGGAGATCCATGCTGCAAAAATTGCAGAAAATAACATCACATAACTAATTTAATTATTTAAATTGCATGAAGAAAAAAAAAATCAGTCAATTACAACTTGTGTTTCAATGGAGGCAGCATCAAACATTTTATACATCCTTAACTTCTTTCATGCCTGCTATTCCTATATAAGCATAACAAAGGGAAATTGTATTATAGAATGTGTACCCTCTCCTGAGGTGTTTTAGAGACTTTTCCCTCTACTTCTTCCTCATTGCCTTCAAGACTCTCCAAATCTTCGGGCTGCAATTAAAAGAAAAGCGGCAAAATAGTAAAAATTCTGCTAAAACAATTATATGCACGTCCTCATTGTTCAAGATACTGACTTTTTTAACCATATGGCCCTTTTCAACATCATTAAAACTATCAATACCAGTAGAAATATCCATTTTCTAACGGTTTTTAAAACATGTGTTTTTCAGCCGATGCAGCATTGATCTTCAAAAGAAAAACTAAGATTGAAAAGTAAATAAAAGATAGGAACAAATAACAAAATTCTATACCTAAAACTTCCATCTTTATCTTTTTTCATCTCTAAATTCAAAGCCATATCACACCCTTACAACAAATAACAAAGACAAAACACTAACTTTTGCCAACACTCAGCATATAATGGTTCGGTTTGTAATTTCCAGTTTAGATGTAGCAACTCAATACATTAACACACACTGTCTATCATGAACAGAGAAAATCATTGATTTTTCAAGCAATAACATATCTTTCTTAATAAATATATTATAGCAATAGAATCAACCACTAACATTAATCAATAAATCAGTATTTACATTGTCTTCGTCAGGGCTTTTGTTCGAGTTAGGATCTGAGACACCATCATCGAATGATTCCAAAGATCCGCCACTGGTATCAGATTCGATTTTAGCTTTAAGTTTCTGAACACAAGGCAAAAAATAAATCATAACCAGAATCAATAAAACAATAGTAAAAAAAATCATTTAATCGAAAAAATTAAAATCACATCACTATACAAATATTGGCATGATACTGAAGCTTTCATACAAATTATAATGAATAAATTGAGAAGCTAAATACTCAAAAACCTCGCATGTCTTCGTCTTCTTTGCAATAACTTCCTTCTGATCATCATCTTCATACTCCCTCTTGTTTCCTGTACAAAATTTAGTTTATGTTTAAAGTAAACAAAAAAAATGCATAAACTAAACCCTTGGGCAAAAGATCAAAAACCCAAAACCAAATTGACAAAAGCAAACAAATAAAAGTGAAATCGAGTTTAGATTACCGATTTTTTGTGGCGGAATTGCATCTTCACAGACCTAGAAAACAAAGTGAAATCGAGTTTAGATTAACTATACCGAGTAAGAAAGAAATAAAAAATTCACAATGAAATTGAAGGTAGTTGAAGAAGAAAACGCAGTACTGGTTTAGATTCTTCGGCCATTGCGGCTTGAATTTGGGGAATCGGAGGAGAGAAGAGAGTTTTGGGGGAGATTCTAGCCGTAGGAGTTAGGGTTTGTGGTTGTGAGCAAGAAGAAGAACTCGCGCGAATGCTACTAGTTGGTGCGTTTTTTCTTCTCTGGTTCGCGGATTTTGTAACATGTGAAATTGGTTCATTCAAAAGCTTTTAAACGGAAATAATTATTAAATTACTAAAAAAAAGTTTAGGTGAATTGTGTTAGGTACAAATAATAATATCTCCAATTTTGAATTTTCAAGAAAATGGAAAAAATATAGAGGGAAAATAAATTACAAAAATAATACTCTTTATAGATTTTGATTTTTTTATTTCTTATTAATATAAATTCGTATGAAAGGTAGAAAGAAAAGAATACAAATGAAATATCTAATTTATTGTTAGAATTAATAGGTACTATAGTTATATGTCATTCTTGAGAAAGTTGTAGAATTGTGATGAACAAAACTTGTAGAATTGTAATGAATAAAAGTTGAATATTTGAAATGTGAGTTTTAAAGGTCTAAGTGTTTGATTGGAAGAGGTAATTTGAAATTTAAAAATTTTGGTTTATATAAGTTGCATGATATCATTTTGAATCATGGTAATATTTAGAAAAATACCATGAATAATTACAAGTTCAAATGGAAAGGCTTCTTGAAGAGCAACCGTGAAAACGTGTTGAAAAGGATTATGTTTTTTCAAAAATGATCGGGTGCAAATCGATTTGCATAAGGTGCAAATCGATTACTTCTATGCAACGTTACAAAATTTTTAGGCAATGTTACAGGGACTAATCGATTGCTGCAAGGTGCAAATCAATTTCTCAATTAGAAAAATTGAAATTTTGCCTAAGTGTTTATGTCATGATAAAGTGAATGATGTATGCATTGAGTGTTTGATCACGGCATCTAAAACTTCCGTGAAGGTAAATATTGTCATTATACCTTCTTGAAACTTAATTTCATTGATTTCAAATCCTTTAACATTATGTTTTATCTTGAGATTCAACTTTGCCTTCTTAATATTAAAAGTTTTGTCTTCATCAAAACCTATTCAACATAAGGAATCTTGACTTCACATTCACCCCCTTTTTGATGATGACAGTGAATCCTTTTGATATTTTATAATTTCCAAAACACTTCTCTCCCTAAGATGTATAACTCCCATTTTGTATATGAAACTTATAAATATTTGAAGTTGATCATCTAGATGAAGTCATTATACCTTTTAAAAATTCAAGACAGGGAAATACATAAGCATAACATCTTTCTCCCCCTTTTACATTATCAAAAAGAAGGAAAATATGGGTGAAGGATAATAAATTGGCAAGTATACAAGGCCAATGAAAAGAACTAATATCACAAGATAAATAAAACCAAACACGCATTAACCATTCAACATAGAACATAATCAAATATTGTAATGGTACAAAGTACCTTACATACCAAACTTAAACAATTCAAAACTTAAAGCATAATTAAAGTTATATGCCAAAAGACAACATAAAAACTCAAGTTTGAAACAAAATAACAAGACATAAGAAACAACTAGGATTGACCCATATTGTAACACCCAATTTTTCTCACATAAATAATTATTCTATAATCTACGAAAAAATATCATAGTACACAAGTAGAATGTCACATCTTTCAAAAACTCATAAAGTTTCAAGTCACTTTATTACTGCATTTCTCATAAAAATCAACTAAATAGCGAAACAATTAAATTAATTCACTTCCATGGCACTAAGGCCTCAACAATAATAAAACTCCACAAGATGCATGGTTCAACATAAGTATGAAATAAGATACGTAAGAAAATGAAACAATGCAAAGTATAACAAATTCCCCAAAATTCCGTGTTATATATCAGAGCGACTCTTAAGACTCGATCAGGTAACACTCACTCCAAACACTACTCGGGTACCTAATTATTTGTACTCCTAGAGGAGCACAGACACACAATAGAAAAGGGGGTGAGAATTACATTCAAAAAACATACTGTGAATATCACATGCTAAGGAGTAGTAATTCACATTTCATCCAATACTTTGAAACACATTCATCATCTACATAACACAACATCAGCTCAATAGTGATGCAGTGCAATGAGACTGACATCAACTCAATACATGTGGTACCATCGGGACATAAGCCTTCAATGTAATTCCAGATAGGACAACAACAGGGCATAAGCCCTCAACATAACACCATTATAGGCCAACAATAGGGCATAAGCCCTCACCAATGAATGTATGCAACACCGACATGCAACAATGAAATTATGCAATCACAGGGCATAAGCCCATAACATTACACCAATACAGGCCAACAACATCATCATCACCATGCAGTATATTATGAAACTCATCCATACATTTTCATATACCATCCTCGTGTTACATCACATCATTAACGTCACACATCATACGAAATTCATATAAGGTTTCATGTTTTAACCCAAATTTCATTATTACTAACCTTCTTATATCAACCTAAGTCATACTAGTCATTACAGACCAAGAGAAACTACACTACACACGAAAACGGGAAAGAAAATGCGAAAATTGTAAAAAAAAATCCACACAGGCCTGCTCATACGTGTAAGGCCATGCTCCATATGCGTAATGCCTGGCTACCTCACCTCAGTCCTTGCGTAAGTTATGCGTAGGGCCAAAATTCACATACTCCATACGCGTAATGCCTCTTACCTTACGCGTACGACCAGAGAAGGATTTCCCTAAAAATCTTCTCAAGAAATTCCATACACGTAATGGTCTTGCCATACGCGTAATGCCTTCTTCTCTTACGGGTATCCTACGCATATCACCAGAGGAGCATGCTAACCACGGGATAGGGCGCGTAACGCACGCGTAATGCCCCTTGGGAAGTCCCCTCATACATGTAATGCCCCCTGGCTTACGCGTATGAGCATTCTACAACACCAGAAATCTTATTTTCGCATCAGTGAAATTTTTCACCCATTGGAGCACCTTCAAGCTTCTAATTCTGACCCAAAACAACATTCATACCAGTATAATCCTAAAGGATCTATCCTACTTCGTCAATCTATCATTTTAACAAGGTTTTCATAGTTTAACTCATAAATTCATCAATTCTCACAAATCCATATTTTTCAGATTGGGTTTTCATGGAATAACACCACAACAACAATAATTATCAACAACAATCACATCATTGGCATCAATTAATCCACAATTCTACATAGAATCACATAGAGACAACATCAATCAAACAAAATAAAAACATATATCATTCACACACACAAACCTAGAGAGAGAAATGAACCCTCACTATTCTCTCATGTTATAATCACTCTTTAAAGAACTCATTCTCCCCCCCTTACCTTAGTTTGAAGCTTTTATACTTCAACAATATTGGAATTCTCTCTTGCCCTAATTGTTCCTTCTCTTCTCTTATTTGTTTCTACGTGACAACAATTTTCTCCCAATCTTTTCTACCACTTTCTCAATTATGTTTTATTATTTTCTAATAATAACCAATAATAATAATAATTAGAGTAATAAAAATATTTATAATAATTATAACTATAATATTAATAATAATTATATTATTAGTGGTAATTATACCATATATCTAGCAATAGTATTTTTATTAATAATAATAGTATATTCTATCATTCACCAATATTATTATTATTATACCATAGGCTAAGTTTGTTTTAACTATCTAATTAGAAGTAAGTTCTCACATACCCTTAGCCATGACTACATACTCTTAGTTATGCTAAAATAATTTAAAATCAACAAACAACGACTAAATATTTAAATGGGTTGTTACAACTCTCCCCCACTTATAATACTTTCGTCCTCGAAAATTACCTTATGCGAACAATTCTAGATAAGACTCTCGTATCTTGCTTTCTAATTCCCACATCATACTTTCTCCGATTGTTCCTCCCCAAACTACTTTCACTAGAGGAATTTCCTTGCCCCTCAACTTCTTCATTTCACGACCTTCGATCCTCACCGGCAAGGCCTCAACTGTAAGGTTATCCCTAACTTGCACATCATCCAACGGGATCACATGAGATGAATCCAAAATATACTTCTGAAGTTGTGACACATGGAACACATCATGCAAATTTGAAAAATTAGGTGGTAAGGCCACCCTATAAGCAACAATTCCCACTTTATCCAAAATCTGGTACGGACCAATAAACTGAGAAGTAAGTTTCTTTGATTTTAATGCTCGTCCAACACCGATCACTGGTGTGACTCTCAAAAATACATGATCTCCATCTTGAAAATCAAGGTCCTTCCTCCATTTGTCATGGTAACTATTCTGCCTACTCTGCAAAGTCCTCATCTTTTCCCGAATTAACTTTATTTTTTCTGTAGTTTATTGGACAATTTCCGGCTCAAGTATTATGCTCTCACCAGATTCATACCAACACAACATAGTCCTGCACCTCCGACCATACAATGCATCAAATAGTGCCATTATAATACTAGAATGGTAACTATTGTTATAAGTAAACTCTATTAATGGAATATAACTATCCTGCTTTCCTCCTTGCTCAAGCATGCAAGCTCTCAACAAATCTTTCAACGACTGAAAAGTTCTCTCTGTCTGTCCATTTGTTTGTGGATGATATGTCGAACTCAATCTCAGCTTAGAGTCTAACGCATCATATAAACTCTACCAAAATTTATAAGTGAACCTTTGATCTCTATCAGACATGATGCTCGATGGAACGCCAAGAAGCTTCATAATCACACGGACATAAATCTCTGCTAACTGTGGTACCAAAAAACTGATATTAATCAGAATAAAATGAGCTGACTTTGTTAGCCGATCAACAATCACCCAAATTATATCATGCCCCCTTAGAGTACTCAGCAACCCCATCACAAAGTCCACTGATATATTATCCCACTTCCACCCTAGAACATCTAACAGTTCTAATAATCCCGCAGGTTTCTGATGTTTAACTTTCGACTT